AATGCCCCCCCCCCCCCCCCCCCAAATCTCCACTGACTAATTTAAACATCCTCATTACAGTTAGATACTGTTACATGTGGCATCTTCTCAGTGTTTTATTTAATTTTTTTTACTAACATAAAGTTTCATTTTGTTGATTTGTTAAGCTATTTTTCTAGTAACCCTAACCAGTGTCACTATCACATTTTCTATTCAATTTAGGGTGGAAACCATGTCATAGTTCCGGACTTATTAAATGATTAAAAGCTTAATTTCACACAATGATATGAATGACGACACCTGTTACACCAGAAACAGAAATGATACATATTAGTTATATATATATTAGTTTCACAGATAGATAGATAGATGGGGCCGTTTTTTCCACACAGATGACTGTCAGTGGCCCCTGGTGAAAAAAGGGTTGGGGCCTGAAAGTTGTGGGCGTGTCATTGCGGGTGGAGTATTTTCACTCCACTGAACCTCTACGGAGTGAGTAATTACTGGCTCCGCAGCCAACAGAGGGGACACACGCTCTGCTACACAGAAAAATACGGTCTCAACAAATTAGTAGAAGAGTTTGGCGTGGAATTTATACCTGTAAAAGTGCGTGAAAGGACTCCAATGGACTGCTAGGAAACACACTGGAGGAAATGGCAGGAAGCACCTGAAACCTGTTGCTCTGAGCACTATCGCGAAAGGTGATTTTATTTTTTATTATTCAACCTTACTTATACTTAAAAAAAAAACGAATTTATTTTTGGACGTCAGGTATCTTTCTCTTATTTTCTTCTCGATTTTTCGGCGTCTTTTTTGTTGTGAATCCGCCGGATTGCATTCATCGGATACATTCACCTGCCATGTGGAATTTAGAGCAGATCAGAAAGGAAACCTACGCTTAAAATGTTACTTTGCTACATTGTATCTGCGGGAAATGAACTTTCGACCTTAACACGGTTTACTCGGTGAATGATTGACCATTTCGTCCACTGATGCGCGTGCTTTTCCATGGTACGTTCTGACGCTCAATTCTATGTTTATGATTTTCTGTAGAATTATTAAACTATTGTTTGATTTAACTGTAGTTGTTCTCTTACTCTTTCAGCCCGTGTTTAGGATCATGGTCTGTATGAAATGCACTCACACAGTTGGAAGAAAGTGTGCTCCTGATCTGGAATGAAACTTCACTGTGATTTACAACCTTGTGGACTGTGGACATGCTGCTGGAGCAATTAAGGTTTCCTTTTGGGATTTCTTCTTTCCGAAACGCAGCAATAAATTAAAAAAAGAAAGGACGGAAGGGGAAAAAACCTGAGCTGAGAAAATACTCAAGTATTGAAATTCATCGTTTTCCAGTATGAGGAAACCTGCAGATAAGCATCATTTCACCATGGAGACCTCAGGGATGCACCTGGTCGGATTTTGGCTTCATGTTCTGCTGCTGTTGCAACTGTCTAGGCTTGGCGATGCCGCTTCTAAGGATATAGTGTGCGAGCCCATCACTGTACCAATGTGCAAAGGGATTGGATACAATCACACCTACATGCCCAACCAGTTCAATCATGACACCCAGGATGAAGTCGGCTTGGAAGTGCACCAGTTTTGGCCACTTGTCCGTATCCGTTGCTCCCCAGACTTGCTTTTCTTCCTGTGCAGTATGTACACCCCAATATGTCTTCAGGACTACAAAAAGCCCCTGCCACCGTGCAGGTCTGTGTGCGAGAGGGCTAAGAGGGGTTGCTCCCCCCTCATGATCCAGTATGGGTTTGAGTGGCCAGAGCGGATGAGTTGCGAGCAGCTGCCTATGCTGGGGGACACCGATCGGCTTTGTATGGACAGGAACAGCAGTGAGACCACAACTCTATCACCTCCTTTCCCCAAACCCACTCCCAAAGGAACACCAAGACATAGAGCCACTGCAAAATCTGCTCCGCCGCAGAAGTGTGACCGTGAGTGCCATTGTCGAAACCCCCTAGTGACAATTAAGCAGGACGCACATCCTCTTCATAACCGGGTACATACCAGCTCTCTACCCAATTGCGCTTTGCCTTGCCACCAACCATACTTTTCACTGGATGAGCGTGCCTTCACAACCTTCTGGATCGGACTTTGGTCGATACTGTGCTTTGTCTCGACGCTCACCACTGTGGCCACTTTCCTCATCGACATGGAGCGTTTCAAATATCCAGAGCGGCCGATTATCTTCCTGGCTGCTTGTTATCTGTTTGTGTCGCTGGGGTACATTGTGCGACTGCTTGCGGGCCATGAGCGGGTAGCTTGCGAGGGCTCCGGCAACCAACAGCACATCCTCTATGACACCACGGGTCCAGCCCTTTGCACGCTAGTTTTCCTGCTCATATATTTTTTTGGAATGGCCAGCTCCATCTGGTGGGTGGTGCTTTCCTTCACCTGGTTCCTGGCGGCAGGAATGAAATGGGGGAACGAGGCCATTGCGGGTTACTCACAGTACTTCCACCTTGCTGCTTGGCTCGTCCCTAGTGTCAAGTCCATCGCTGTCCTGGCTTTGAGTTCGGTGGATGGTGACCCCGTGGCTGGGATCTGTTACGTCGGCAACCAGAGTTTGGAGAGCCTACGTGGCTTCGTATTGGCACCGCTGGTCGTCTACCTCTTCACTGGCTCCCTCTTCCTTCTGGCCGGATTCGTTTCACTCTTCCGGATCCGTAGCGTTATTAAACAAGGCGGCACCAAGACAGACAAGCTGGAGAAGTTCATGATCCGGATTGGGCTCTTCACCGTCCTGTACACCGTGCCCGCAACTATTGTGGTGGCTTGCCTGGTGTATGAGCAACATTACAGGCCAGGTTGGGAGCGGGCACTGGCCTGTTCTTGCCCATCCGAGCGTCAGCGGCTCGGCATAGGGCCGGACTATGCTGTCTTCATGCTGAAATACTTCATGTGCCTTGTAGTAGGCATTACCTCAGGTGTTTGGATCTGGTCCGGGAAGACTCTGGAGTCCTGGAAACGCTTTGTGGCGCGGTACCTCCCCTGTAGGACCCGGAAGCCACCTGTATCAGGCTCGTCCATGTACAGCGAGGCCAGTACCGCTCTCACAGCCCGAGCCGGAACAGCACCCACTGGGACCTATCACAAATCAGCACCTTCATCACATGTCTGAGCATTGGCCAGAAAGCCCTTGTCCTTTATAAACCCTACAACTGTCAAATGAGTGACACATGAAGTGTGCAGGTCATGACTCTGAATGAGCAGGTGTCTATTCGACCAACATCACCGGATATGATGGACGGAACAAATATATTATGAAGGATTTTTACAGACTATTGGTTGTTTCATTGTAGTCGAGCTTTTCTCATTCACTGGTCTAATTTGCAAAGCAATGAACATGTTAATACTTTGTGAGGAAAAGATGATCTCTACAATCGTAGCAAGCATGGTAGCCATCTTCTGTTTTTTTAGATCGTGAATGATGGAAAAGAGATCTCAGAAGTTTTATACTTGATATGAGTCAAGACAAATTGAGGGGGTTGTGGAGATATTTTATTTATTTGTGTATTCTTGTATATATGCTATTGAAGAACTTTGTGATATCTCAGATTACATTCGCTCTGCTGTGTTTGTGACTATCAGCATTTTACAGGATGTCAGTAGGATCATTTTAAATACCCTCTCCATGTTTCTAATTTACAAATTTGGACACAGGATGTAAATAGGTGCTTTCATGCATTCTCTGTAACCAAGAACAACACTTTTTCATCTTATATTGTGCAAGTGGAGGTCTAGTAAAGAAGCCATTCACATTCACTTAAAGTTGTTGCAGGCATTTCTGCACAGGTTAATGCTGACCGAATGTTCTTCAGTGTCCCTCAACAACCGCTTAACGGGTTGTGTGTTTCAAAGCTATCCCTCCACTGATAATAGATTGTTGGCTAGCATCTATTGGGCAGTGTTAGGGATGTGAATGTACCATCTATAGAGTTGTCTGAAGAATCTGTAGGTCTATAGTGTGAGCTGGACTCCCCTCTTGTGGTCAGTAGTTCAACTTTCATGAGGTTCAGGTGTTAACCAGCAGCCTAGGTTTGTCCAGTAGAAGGCCAAATATTAACTGGTTTCAAAACAAAGTGGAACAACATCGTTTCTTTTGGTCTGTTCATTTCCTTGTAAAGCCTCATGATCCAGTCTTTGGTTGTTTTGTCATTTCACCTTATTTGTGTTTTGAATCAAAAAACCAGTGTTGGGTATGCACTTTTAGCAGACAGAATCTGTAAACATTGTTTTTGTAGATCTGTGTGAAATCTTTCAGTGCAGCATTAAGGTACAAGTGTAAGCATTGTTTGGCTACTTTTTACTGTCCAAGATGTTGTAGAAATAAAAAAATTTCTGTGTAGTCTTTAAAATGCTTCACGATTTTGCTGCATGTCTGGTTGTGTGTACATACTTGTTTGGCTCTATTAATATGTAAATCTTGTAGAAGACATGTCCTTTTAAGAGTCCAGGTTGCAACTCTGTACATATGTTTTGTAAAAGATATGAAATACAGTGCTACAATTTTAAAGAGATTCTTAGATATTTATGAAAAGTGTCTTTTACATGTTTCTTTTGTTTCTCTTACTGGTAGAGAATAAAAGTGAGGAGCAATTTGTGAACTGGCAAGTCAAACGTTTGGTCCATTTATTGTGCTTTTATTTTTACTGCTGTTTTGGAGAGGGAAAAAAAAAAAAGTTCACCCCATTGATCCAAAAAACAAATCCAAAAATAATGTTTAATATTTTTTATCTTTCAAATGTTTTTTCTTTGTTAGTAGAATGCTATCAGTTTCAGATTTTTTAACAGGCACTAAAACCCTGCACTTTATTCATATTTTCTTTTACATTGTTTAAAACAAATATGGTTCTAACAAAGTTAATTAGCCCTTATTGTGAAAGAAAGAGCTGTAAGTGTTAAAATCCCTGGATTCATTTTTCAGTGTAATGCAACAAAAACACAAACCACCATTTTGACAGTTGACCTTGTAAATCATTCTTCAAACATAAATTCAGACGTGATACATGATTAGTGTTTATTTAAAATACTCCATCTGCAAATGATTTCAATTAAAAACTGACATTTCACAGCTAGTAGCCTACATAGTAAGCAAAAAACAAAAGAAACCATTCAGTCTGTTTTTGTCTCTATGTTGTTCTGCATCGGTTGGGTAAGGTGTAGGATCTTTCAACCGGCGTAACATCGCCAAAGGCGGGGGAAAAGAGCGAGTTTTGTCCATTGAGCTTCATCTTGGAGTGGCCACTGTTCCGAGAAAAATCTCTTAAGAAAGAACGGCATTGGATCTGCGGATGCCCACTAGGTTGTCTGCGCTGAATGATCTCCTCATCGCCACTCTGCTCAGATCCTTGTACTTATCCTCACATAGTCTTGAGATAGCCTTTAAAAGAAAGAAATATGAGAATTTTTGCAAATAAATGGACCCATTACAAAAAGAGGCATGGCTTTACATTCAAAAATGAGTAAATTTTTTTAGGTCTGCTGCCCACCTCTAATTTCTGTGCTCGTTCGTTGCTCAATGGCTCCAAAGGAAAGCTCAGGTTGTTGTCGTCTGCTAGAGAGCGCAGGTCAAAGTAATACTTGGCGTAGACGCTGGCCGGCACATTAATGTTAAACTGTAGCAGCTCCAGAAAATGTCTTTCCATCTCATTCCTGAAAAATGGATTGTGAGATTCAAAGAGTCAGGATTGTCTTTTCGGAGTTGAACTCACAGACAATAGTACCAATGTAAATAAAGACAGATATTAAAAAAGATAACCAGATTAAAAAAAAAAAAAAAAGTAGTAACACGAAAACTATAAAATCCATTACTGGCATGTCAAGCATTGACATTATGAGATTTTTCTTGCCACATTCAAAACTACTTTAAACAACATTTCCAATTTTTTTCACACTACCGTTCTAAAGTTTGTGGTTGTTAAGACTTTAACTTTTATGATATAACTTTCTTATGCCAATTAAAAATACAGTATAACAGTAATATTGTGAAATATTCCATTTTAAGGTAAGTGTTTTTTATTTTAATATTTTTGTTAATGTCATTTATTTCTGTAATGGCTGGCAAAAATGAATTTTTACCAGCCATTACTCCAGTCTTCAATGTCACATGATCCTTCAATAATCATTCTAATACACGGATTTGGTGCTCAAGAAATATTTCTTATCAGAGATGAAAACATTTGTGCTGTTTATATTTTTGTGGAAACAGTGATTTTTTTTCAAGATTATTTGAATATAAAGTTAAAAAGAGCATTTTTTTGTAATGTTTTTACTGATAATTTTGTAAAATATCTTTACTGTCACAAACTCAATACACCCTTATAATAATAATTGTGTGTGTGCGCGCGCGCGTGCGTGCGTGCGTGTATACATATACGTACACACATATATTCATGCTGTTTTCTACTACTTTATTATAATAGTAATATTTAAAATCCTAGAGATTCTCTGCTGCGTCTGAGAGCAGGCATGGAGACTGTCACCGTGTCACCTGACTGTTTTGGGAAAAGCAGACATTAGGTTGAGGTTGGTATGGGTGGTGTTGTGAGAGGGGGGGAGGGAGACGGTTCAGTCGCTAGTGGCAACAAATGGAGTGGGCGAGAGCCTGGACCATTGTAGAGGAGTCTGAGAGCACTTGAAGCCCGCCAGCCCAGAGGCTCACAAAGACTGCTTCAATGAAAGGGATGAAAATAGAGCGAAGGGGCAGAGAGGAGAGAAGAGGGACATGGCCTTTAACATACACAATCAGGTAGAACAGACACGTACACACACAAACCCTGTCTGTGTCATTTATATGGATATTGAGACATGAGAACAAACAAAAAAAACAAGGTTTTGAAGTGTGTCGCTTCATTTTTTTGAAAGTCGTGCACGCTTGTTCCAAGGGACATGGGAAGTTGTGAGGTATGTAGGAGTTGTAGACTGGAATGAGTTGGCAGAGGAGTGAAGTGACACACAGTACTGTCTCCTGACTGCAGCACATGTTGAATTTTGGATGGTGTGTTGATGTATCACATCGAGACGTTTTGTTCTAGATTATTTCGACTGTACAAATGAGCTGTAACTTTTCAGCAGAACGGACAGTGACTAGATAATCTCACTCACATGTCCTCAACAGTGATGTCTTTGAGGATCTGACAGTAGTCGACGTTCCACACGGCCTGATCGTCCCAGACTTTCGAGGCCAGTAGGATGGCTCCCAGAACAATCCTCTTCCAGTTAGATGGGCAAATGTCCAGCTCAGCATACGTCAACAGCCTCTCCAAATATACCTGCAGCAAAGACAGTGGACACCTATGTTTTCAAAAGATGCTTCTTACAAAGGCAAATTGTGATAAAGCATGTGTATTATTGTGTGCAAATTAGAATTATAGGTGCAGTAGGAGATCTTGGAAAATGCTAACTTTAGCCTGAGAGCACTGAAAGCGAACGTCCCACCCTCTCAATTGCCGTCCAAAGCCACGCCCCCTGAACGCATATATGCTCACAGACCAGAATACCAGAGACAACATTACTACAATAGGCTACATCAGCGGTTCCCAATTCCAGTCCTCGCACTGGATGTGAAGACGTGTGTGTGTGAGAGTGTGATGTGTGTGAGGACGCTGCGCAGCGCAAATCCGTGAATGAATGTTCTGAAGTGAAGTAAATTTCAACGGATTTCCCCTGCTCAGAGTAGGGAGCAATGAACACTGTGTAGGGATCATATCGATCGGAACAGTTCATGCATGTAGCTCACTTCTAACGAGCTGGTTATCTGAATCGGGTGTGTTAACTAAGTGAGACATGCTCGCTCTGTCTGCACAGCGTGCGTGAGCGCGCTGATGACGTATCCTGTCTGCGCGAAGTGGGTGCGCAGAGGTATGCTGATACATACATTGACAGGTAGGTAGGAAAGCCAATTAAAACGCTCGTACCGAGCGTTTTGATTGGACGAACATTTCTTGGTCCTACGCCTTCCACAGAATATATAAATACAGATAAATACATTTATACCACATAACTTAATGATTGCTATCGTGATGTGAAGTGACTTTCAACCAGCATAACAAAAAATGTTTCTGAAGACAATCACCTATTGCACCTTTAAAACACTGGAAAATATTTTTAATTACATTTAGTTCAATAATATTAGCTGATGCAATACTTATGAAATAACAATTAATAATACTTTTACAGCGTCTATTAATTTCAAGATGAAAAAAAGAATGAGTTTGTCTTGGTGATGTTATTCTAGGTAAATCTACATAACAGTTCAAATATTTAGGTCTGGTAAGTTGTTGTTGTTTTTGAAAGTCTCCTATGGTCACCAAGGCTACATTTAGAATAATAATTTAAAAATATATATATCTCTACATTTTTTTCAGCATCACATGATCTTTCAGAAATCATTCTAATATGCTGGTTTGGAGCGAAAGTCAAATTTATTGCAACATTTTTTGTAATTCTACTTTTTGGGAATAGAAAGTTCTAAAGAACAGCATTTATTTAAAATAGTAGTCTTTAGTATCATTATCTTTACTGTGACTTTTTGATCAACTTGATGCATCCTTACCGTAAAGAAGTATTCATTAAAAACCATGAAATAAATAAATAAACCAAAATAAATAAATAACCCTCAGTAAACCTACTGAGCCCAAACTCTTGAACGGTAGCGTGTATTCATTCATTATATTATGTTGTATAATGAACATTAGTTCACGTATTATAAATGAATCTGAATTAGCAATGAACAAAATAATATTTCTAAATTAGCATTAACCGTTATTAATAAATGCTGTAAAAACCGTTTTGTTGTTTGTTCATGATACCTAATAAGTAATTATAACAACTGAACCTTATTGTACAAAGTTTTATCAAAATATTTGATTGTAAATAATCAGAAGTTTTGTGGTTGTGGACAAACACATGATGATCCATTCTCTGGTGCTCTACTGTCCTCTAGTGGACGTCAGGAAACTGTACCTCTGCACCTCCATCAAAAACCAAAGTCCCTGCTATTTCTCATTGAACAGAATAAACTGAAAGTGGACCAGACCAGTAAGAAAGGCTGCTATTCTCTTACCAGAGTGACGATCGCACACTCGGCTGTGAGCTGTGCAGCGCTGAACAGTGTCCGGACGAATCGATAGATGAGTTTGTGTTCGGGGTCTGTGCGGGAGTAATCATCAGGAACCTGCTCCCTCTGCCAAAGGTAGCATTCATACACATTATATGCTAATATGTTCAACATTTCTAGCTCAAATGTGTTTCATTTAATATAAGTGTTATGTTCATTAGTTACTTCTGATGACTAAAATGTCAGTATGATACCAAGAGACCTACTATAACAAAGAGTCCCTGTCATTGCGGCAAGTGGGAGAACATAAGCTAACTATATGGGCTAGGAGTGAGGAAAAAGAACTGACTTCTCACATGTTATGTATGTTATATGTCAAGTCCCAAATAACAAAAATAACGGACTGTTCACAAATGCTTTTCCAAAAAATCAATTTCAAATGGATTCTAAACTACATATGAATCAGATCAAATGTACAAATTTTGCTGCTCAGACTAAACAGCTAAACGGATTGGATGCACAGAAAATAATAGTAATTGCAGCCTGTCTGAACAAAACCAAATAGTGACCATCAAATGTGCAGTTGTCCAACAGCTGCAGATGTTACTGAAAAAAGAAAAAGAAGGGGTAAACTTACAGATAAGGGGTGCATTTTTTCATCAAAGATGTCCAATGACCTATCGGAGTCCCTGAAATAATAATAAAAAAAAAACTTTTTATATGCAAAACCTTTTCAAAATTTAGGTCAAATGATGCTTGTGGAAAAGAACCTACTAAAACGTACCTGTTTTTAATGTGATAATATATTGCTAATGTGACACTGGAAACAGAGAACAGAAAGGTGGTCAACACACAAACCAAAGCAAAATAAAACACAACAAACAGCCCTCCAACCTTTTCAATTTGCTAATTATTTTTTACATACATTCAATGGTATGTACTCATTATGTAGCTCATTAATGTGTAATATTTTACTATAAACAGTACTGTAGAAAGAGTTCTAAAAAAAGCATGAAATAACACAATGAACTTCACTGACCATTTGATTGTGCTTTTCAGGTTGGGCTGACTGACGGTGCTGTCATCAATGAATATCGTAGAGCAGGAGCTGTACTTCTTTGAAAGCAGACCAGGTGAGACCTTCAGAAAGGATCAACATTTAATACGCTTGCAGAAAGACGTTACTTATAACCAAGCACAACTACAAAAACTCCAAAACACATTCACTCACGTGGTTTATGTGATTGCTTTTCCTCTTGTCCCGTACTAAAAAAAAAAGAAAGGCAGGGGTTTCGTTGTTAAACATTTCTTCATCAAATATTGACAAGCTGTACCAGTGGTCATTTACCAAAGTGTCTTTCCAGCTATTAACAGTATGGGTCAGGACACAAGGAAGTAAAATTAAATGATTAACTGATTAGATGACAATTTTTGGAAACACTCACCATCTGTCTGTGACTTGTTAAGGAAGATCGTGCTGGCACGGGCATGATCTGATGGGTTGGACTCTAAAGCCAAATCTAGAAGACAGATAATCAATCAATCAATCAGCAACATAAGGGCATAATTACAAACAATAGCAAATAAACATCCAAGAATGGGTGGTATGGTCGGTGGGCAACACGTCGACATATAGCGTGCCATTGCGCTATGGGCGTCCCGAGTTCGAATCCCATGAATGGGATGGTATGTTCTTTAATATCAAAAAAAGAATGGGTGGTATGTTCTTTAATATCAATGAAATCTAAAACTTTCAAAGTGTTAACATTTCACATATCATTTTACATACACAATACCATTTGCAGTTTTCAAAAGTTTTGGGTTAATACATTTTTACTGTTTTTGAGTCTAATGTTTAAAAAAATTTTTGCTCAACAAGATTGCATTTTTTTGATCAAAATACAGTAAAAACAGTATAATTATGAAATATTATATATATTTTTAAATGCAATTTATTCCTATGATGGAAAAGCTGAATTTTCGCCAGCCATTACTACAGTCTTCAGTGTCACATGATCCTTCAGAAATCGAATATACTGATTTGGTGCTCAAGAAAAATGTCTTATTATCAATCTTAAAAAAACAGCACTCATTTGATGTAGAAACGTTTTAAAATGTGTTTACTGTCACTTTAATGCATCCGTAGTGTACTTTTAGTATAGCATAATATTAAATTTTTCCTGTTCATTATCTTTGCCCAATAACAAGGCAAAGCCAAGAATACATCTTAAAAAATGAGCTAGAAGTGCACCGATGGTGACATACATAATCCTTCAACTGTCCAACAGAATAAATATTCATCTTTATACAGAAACAACCCCCTACAAGGGAGATAAGGTGGTATGTCGTCCTGCTCTGAGTGCTCAAACTGATTGGCAGGGGCATGCTGCTACCCGGAGTGAGAGGAGTGGGGGCACAATAAGCCTATTGTATGGGCACTGCAATAGAACAACACAAGCTCACACCCTGAGCTCCTCCCACACCGCCATGTCCTACAGGAGCCATGCCAACGGATCAAAACGGACCTTACTACACATTACTGAATCCACTGGGAGATGAGTTTGTAAATGGTTAAATATTCTACCCCAAGTGTTGTTCAGAACATTAGTATTGAGGATATTGCCCAGGCCACTTCACTGAAAGATGTCTACATCAGCCAATGAAGAGACATTCTTCTGGAATTAAATGGAGACAGGGTCAAAAGATTTGTGCCAGTGCTGCTAAGTTGTACAGTAAACACACGCCAAGGAGATGTTTGGACAGCTGCAACCATGGGAGCTACAAAACTGGCAGGAGGTGTAGCGCAGGTGCAGGACAGAAGAATTCTGGAGGAAGTTCAGAGTACCCAGCTTTGGATGATTTTACTTTACAGTCTATGGCCCTAAATGTAAAATGGATCACAAGGCAGATCACAATGCATGTAGCATTCCCAAAGAGCCCACAAGTAGGCATTGGCATAACTTTTTTTTCTGGCTGGTCAACAGCTATGAAACAACAGTAGTTAAAGTTAGTTAAATAGTCAAGTTTATAATTTATAAAGAAAGTTCATAGCTAGTTAAATTAATAACATACTGATTCTGTTTAATGGCACAGGAGGTGTAGCGCAGGTGCAGGACAGAAGAATTCTGGAGGAAGTTCAGAGTACCCAGCTTTGGATGATTTTACTTTACAGTCTATGGCCCTAAATGTAAAATGGATCACAAGGCAGATCACAAGATCACATTCCCAAAGAGCCCACAAGTAGGCATTGGCATAACTTTTTTTTCTGGCTGGTCAACAGCTATGAAACAACAGTATTTAAAGTTAGTTAAATAGTCAAGTTTATAATTTATAAAGAAAGTTCATAGCTAGTTAAATTAATAACATACTGATTCTGTTTAATGGCGAAGATATTTATAGGCAACTCAATCAAAATGTCACTTGACGACCCTATTCTTGCTGCAACTCACCTTCATGTTAAAATATGGTCAGTGCAAAGTGCAGGTGATTTCTAAAAGACTAAATTCAAGTACATCCAAACATGTACTCTAATAAATGAAAACCTCAGAGCCTGGCAGTACAAGTCTTGATATCTTTCTTCAACACAAAAATTCACAGCCATTTCCTACCGAGGATACGAATGGCATGGCAAAGTGAGAATGACAAGTCCAAATTAGTTGGGCAAACCTGAAGACTTATTTCTCAACCGAACTCTTGTTGGAGCTGAGGCCCAGATTCCTTCCCCTGAGAGATCGATGGACATGGGTGAGAGAGAATGCTGACCAATAAGGAGGTGCAGGAACGCCTGGTGACAAGGCAGCTTTAGTCCAAGGGTGGCAAACTACAGGCAATTATACGTTCGCTAACTCAGTGATAAAACGCAAAGCTAACGTCAAACTGCTGGCAAATACAAATGTGTTCTTTCTTAGTGGATCACACATAAAGATTAGATCAAAATCTTGAGGCCGTGCGTTATAGTGATTTTACTCCACCCCACTTAGTGCATAAGAACACTCCTTAACTGTGGTAAAAGCCCTGTAATGACCTCCCATGAATTACTGCTTTAAAGGATTAGTTCAATAAAAACTAACAGTTCTGTCATCATTTACTCACTCTCATGTTGCTCCAAACCTGTGACTTCTGTGGAAATACAGAAAGAAAGACCAGTCGCTCTTTGTTTTGTATTATTGTTTTTTTATGAACTATCCCTTTAGCATACATTATACGGTTCAAATTTTGGGGTTGTAAGAATATTTAACGCTTTTGAAAGATGTCAGTGGTCACTGAGGCTGCATTTTTTTTTATTAAGAAATACTATAAAAAAACGGCAATATTTTGAAATATTGTTACAAGTTAAATAACTGTTAATATATTGCAATATATTTTAAAATGTAATTTATTTCTGTGACCGCAAAGCTGAATTTCAAAGCTGAGTCACATGATGCTTCAGAAATCATTCTAATATGCTGATTTAGTGCTCAAGTAACATTACTTATTCTCAATGTTGAAAACAGTTGTGCTGCTTAATATTTTTGTGGAAACAGTGATACATAAGAACATCATTTGAAATATAATTTTTGTAACAATGTAAATGTCATCCTTACGGTCACTGTCAATTTAATATATCCTTGCTGAATACAAGTATTAATTTCTTTCCACATGAAAAAGGAACCCAAACTTTTGAATAATAGTGTATGTGCTAAACAACTGAGATTCATTCATTCCATAGGTCTCTAGAGCTCATGTACTCAACTGACACTCCCATTCCCCCACCACCAAAGTCAAAAATAACCCCTGGGGGTAGGGCAGCCGTCCTCACTGAGGGGAGGAACACGGTTGTAGTGTGGCATAGCACAATGATTCCCAAAAAGGGGTATGTGTACCTCACAGATAGTTTTCATTTTACTTAAAGAAACTTGATTTTCAGTGCTGCCAGTACTAAAATATATCTATCTCATATCAGCAGTGCTGGTCTTTCTTACACTTCACCCCTCTTCTGTTTTGGTGTTGATTATGGAGAAAGATTGGGAAACACTGGCATAACAAACCAGAGAAGTGATTCTATAGGTAGTGAGATACAGGAAAACTATGTTTATCCAAACTTAACCTCTAAGCTCCAAAGGGAACAGAACGTGCCTCATGGAGATTCCCAACGAGAGAGCGAGATAAGGAGAGAATGCAGCTGTCCCAAGATCTACATCAGTGGGATGCCAGGAATACTACACATTTTTGATAGTCTATGCCGTATTTTTATTCTCATGTCCAACATTATTCCAAATGAACCATGACCTGGAATGTCCCAATCATAAAGGATTAACCGCAGCCGCAGTAGTAGAGTTTACGCTGCTGTCATATGTGCTTTAAGCCAAAGATGAAGACATGTTGCTCTAAATACAGCACTGGAAGTTATTTGTGAGTGTGTGTGTGACTATATGCATCTCCCCTGAGGGTAAAATAGCTCAGGCTAAATAAACAGCAGTAAAGACTGCAAACAATCCCAAGAGGCATCACACACATATCCCAAATACTAACAGTCAGTTATCCTTTTAAACATCTCCATAAACCTTGTTTCTTTCAATAATGTTACTAAGTGTAGCTAATTAGTAAAATCTGCAATTGTTATTCGGACCGAAAATGTCACAGGCCACCCATTTTCAGAGCAAACCAACAGCCCTTAAAGTGTTCAGCTCTTAACAGAAACCCGACCCGTGAGACGATGAGGTCAAGGCATCGGATCACAGCAGTAAAGTTCCGAGATAAACCATCCCTTTAATTGTGTTTTGAATGTCCGAATGTGTCCTAAATTAAGCCGGTTTGGCGGTTCAAATCGGGAACAGATGAAATAGCCCCTGAAGAACAGACTTCCAAGCATTTATCCGTCATGTATAGGGCAGATCTGTGTGTTGGCTGAAACTCTGGATCCAATAATCTCTCAAATCCTCAGGCCTTCGGGCCCGTAGCGAGAGAAAATGAAGCTTTTAACGCAGCAGATGAATAAAGTCCTGTCCGTTTACATGCGCCTAATTCAAGCTCCGGGTTTGTTTGGAGTTATTAGATTTTGTCCAGCGAGTCTCGTCGGAGAGTCCCCCTGTTATCCCCTCCTCTTCGCCGGCCAGTGCAGCAGCAGCGATGATCTGCTCCGAGTGACGCAGGTGAGGGCCCGCCCTTTTTCGACATTCCATCAATTACGATTGGATGAGGGACCAAAACAAAATAAATATCTGTTAAAGGATTGGTGATTATAACTGTCAATCACGCCGGCAAGCTAACGCTTTAAACCCCGCCCATTCACAATCCTCTTTGTGAATAGAATGAAATGGAATACTCGCGTACTGCATACTGCACAGTGCATACTGTACAGTGCCTACTATTCTTTTGTGAAATAGTATAAACTATGGAATGATAAACATTTCAAACAGTACTATTCATGCTTATTTCAGCAAGTGGTGTACAGTTATCGTCTCTGAAATAAAAAAATGGTTGGGTCATTCTTTTTTTTGCAGTGGAATAGAAATAACCTTAAATAGGCTACCAATAGATCATACAATTCT